TAATAAGGTTGTTCATTCCTCCACCTTTATATTTTCCCGCCCTTACTAATTCAGGATACTTAAGAATACACTAGTACCCTTGACTTTCAACCCCTAAATCATTCCAATCTTGATCATAGCTTAACCATTCTAATCCTCAGAGGAGTTTTCGGATGTAACCGCTACCAACCTAGCCAACCACTCACGACATACTCCTTACTCTTTTCACATCTCCACTCGACCCTCAACCCCATGGTACATTCTATAAAGACTTATTAGGCGTTTCAATATGACTCCCCTTCCGGGGAAATACCCAACTATTAACATTATGACATATCACCACCCCAATTCTTAACGACTATACACATTACCACCTCTCTAAAATAACACTTCATAACATCTGGACCTTGGTCTCCACTTACCATACCACATCCCGATTGGACCCAACCATTCACAATTCAGTCATTAACGCAATATACCCAATTACCTTACGACACCGCGAACTCACATATATAAACATAATGCACAATCCAGCTATCTTTTCAGGAAACATGTTCAATTCCACATTATCAATAACAGGCATATATGACAAATGGTCCTCTCATGGAACTCACGCCCAAACTGTTAATGTGCTGGAACGTGACACCCGATCCAACGCATGTATATGTGTCGGTACATAACACCCGATCCAATGTATATTAGTGTGTCGGTAAGTGACACCCAATCCAATACATGTATATGTGTGTCGGTACGTGACACCCGATCAAATCCATATAAGTATGTCGGTCTGTGACACCTGATCAAATGCACATCCGATCCCATCAGCACAATCACAATCACACTCTCATCCATAACGAACATACTTATAATCACACAATCAAGTATTAGATTCATGACATACAATTGTACATATTCAGTCTTTCCATTAGGTTCGATCCATAATACCTCTAATCCCATACATGTATGCATATCACAAAGCCATTAACAAGTTTATATCACACAACAGGAAATCAACCCATCATATAACCCTAGCTCATGGGATAGGCCTTCCTCCTACGATATACGTTTGATGTAACACCTAGGAATATATGTATAATCATCTCTTTTCGGTGCACAAAATCCTACGCATGAATTCTACCGTCAATTATCAATATACTACGCAATGATTCACAAATTTATAACTACTCAATTAATAAATCTAGCCTACTTGGGTGCCAAGCAGTTGTAGAGGGGTTATAGCTCCAATCCAGGCTTTTGAACGGCGAGACGGTGGATCTTGGCCGAAAATCCGCACGCTATCGACATCCTTACGCTAGAAATCTCTTTCTCCTTCCTTCCTAAGCTTAGAGCAGCCTTTTGGGGTTTTTTGGGGTGATCCTCACCTCTTTTTGGTGTTTTTGGAAAAAAAGAAAATCAGACTTCGCGTTATTTACATTCTATCTCGCCTATCTAGCTCTGGCGGCCACTTATCCCGCTAGAGCGCTGCTGCCCTGGCGATACCTAGCCCTCTCTGGCAGGCTGAAAGGCCCAGTTTTTTCCCAACATTTTTCCTTTCCAAATTAACGACAGTTCGGGTCGTTACAGTTGAAGGGCATAAATATCGACTGAAACCAAGTTAAAGGACATATTTATATATTATGCCTTCTTAGAATCCAACCCTCTACAAGTGTGTTGAAATTACTATTTATAAGCAACAACGGGGATATATTAATCAATAGAAAAACTCCATTCGAGTCCTAGAATACTATGCCCAATAGAAATGCTCCATCAAGACGCTCATACTGTTATGTGTGCCAAATAATCACTATAAGAAAATATGAAATTAACTACGAAATTTATAGGCAATTCCTAGCTAATTTGTCACTAAAATGATCCTAACTAATTGAATTTCTCATAGTCCGTCGTTAATTCATAATTAAATGAGATTAACATGTTTTTATTATTTAGCCATAAAAATTTATCCATAGCTAATTTCTCATTTTCTAGTAGTATATTCCTCTATAAATAACAGAAAACTTGTATGTATACTAGATAGGGACTCTATGCCAGCATGAGGCCCAATACATATTACTCTTTCTATTTTAATTTATTTATGTGGTATATGTGGAATTTGAAGTTAATCAACTTTTAACATGTGTATATTAGAGTCAACCATTATATATATATATATATATATATATATATATATATATATATATATATATATATATATAGAGAGAGAGAGAGAGAGAGAGCGCGCTTTTAAGTTGCTAATTATTGTGATTTATAGTATTTTTACGTAACTTTCACATAATAAATATTACTCCTTTTGTGTTGATTTATGTGATGCAAATGAAATTTCAAAATTCAATCAATTTTTTTTATAAATTCTATTGATATTTAAGTTATTAATTATTGTGATTTACACTATATTTTATGTATTTTATATAATATCTCTCTCTTTATCCCAATTTATGTGGTATAGATGAAATTTTGAGAGTTAATGAAAACTTTATATATATTTTCAAATATTTTAAGCTATTAATTATTATGATTTATAATATTTTTACATAATTTTTTAATATATATAAAGTGATGAAAGATAAAATTTTAAAAAAGAAAACAACAAAATTACCAAACTACCCCTGGCTAGAAGCAGGCATGTTGACGAAGTCATGCCCAGTGGCGGACCTAGGATTTTTGTTCAAGGAGTTCGAAAAATAAAGTATAAGCGTGTAAATAAGCATTTAGAAATGGGACCCTTGAATTTTTTTGGGTTTAAAACCACACTTTTAGCACGTTTTTTAATTTTTTTTTTAAAAAAAACGTGAAAAACAGAACTATAAAACACTATCACAAGGATTTGAACTGGTGAAGTGAAGCTAAATTTCAAGGACTTGCCACTACACTATCAATTTCTCCTTGTCATTGAAGGGGTTCAATATATATATATATATATATATATACACATAAAATTTTATCTTATACATACGGTGTAGTTTTTTACCGAAGGGATTCGGGTGAACCCCTGGATCCCAGCTTGATGTTCTCAGCTTCTCGTCTTTCAACATTGGGCGTTGTTCCATCAAAATTCATCTGAATGCGAAAGTGATAGCAAGGAATACGATGGCTACCGGTTACTTTCCCTTTTGAGTTGGTCTGCATTTCTATTTTGCTCTGTTTTGTTTGGCAATATGGGTCACTTTTGGGCCTAACATTTGTTTATTCTCTTTTTATTTAGGACAAATTATTTAACTATACTCCTTTACTTACTTTAATATTCATTTATCCCTACTTATTTCAAAAATCCCTTATTTACCTATGTATCCTGCATGTATCCTGTGCACAACGTTAGGTATCCCGCTATGTGGAATGTACCAAACTCTATGTATCCCGTGCACAACGCTATGTATCCCGCTATGTGAAATGTATCAAACATAATGTATCCCGTGCACAACGCTATGTATCCCGCTATGTGGAATGTATCGAACGCTATGTATCCCTTGCACAACGCTATGTATCCCGCTATGTGGAATGTATCAAACCTAATGTATCCCGTGCACAACGCTATGTATCCCGCTATGTGGAATGTATCAAACCTAATGTATCCCGTGCACAACGCTATGTATCCCGCTATGTGGAATGTATCAAACTTAATGTATCCTGTGCACAACGCTATGTATCCCGCAAACATCATTTTTAAGGGATTTTTGGTAAATAGAAAACTAGAAGGGATAGGATGTTATTTAGTACTTATAATATGTGGTTCCTATAATTTATACTTTTATTTATCAATGCCTTTTGGGGCTTTTTAATTAAAAAAAAAAAAACCGGGATCCCACGTGGTTTCGCCCCTGATCATCCCTGCTTGTAGCCTCTTCTACTAAGTAGTAATATCTAGCATATTCATCTTTTTATCCTTTTATTCTATCAACGGAACACAAGTCCTTAGCTGACTTTGCGCCACAAGTTTCCACATTTTTTTCTGATAACAATCATCTTTACGTGGTATATAACATATATATAAATCACCACTTGATGTTTGTCAATTGTCATTAATTCTGAGACCTATCCAAATCTCAAAGAATCAAGACAGTCCAAACATTTTTTAAAATACTATTTATAGTTTTCGACTTATAATTTGTTTGGTTAAGTTTTTCTAGGGTTAAAAGTGTTTGTTTTGTTTTTTTTAGAAAAAATTGAGGTATCTAATTAAGCTTATAAGAGAAGAAAAAGTATTTTAAAGTAAAATTAGAAGTTGAAAAAGATAATTTGTCCCTAAAAATTTTTTAAAATTCTTTAAAGAAAATACACTAAGAAATATTTTTTAAAAGTTTGACACAGTAGTAATTGCTACTCAAAATAGATATTTGAATTGATTATCTTTGAATAAGAATCTTCTCATTATCACTTGTTTCTTGAATAAATAAATAAAATAACTAAAAATCAAGAAAGATTTTGTTTTCGTTGAAAATATAAAAAGGGGTTATAATTTTTTTTAAGATAAGAAAGAAATTTTATTTGTGTATACACATTTCAAAAAGGTCAAATAGAAATTGCTTCTATAATAAATATAAATGAATTTTAAAAATTTAACTAAACAAGTTATTGATTATTGGTAGGGAGTTTTTCTCCCAAATGGGCCCGCCCCATATGAGGTGAATTCCAAATAGTCAGACTTTTAAGTGGATACAGATGAGGAAAAAAAAAGAAGTTTTCCCTTAAATAAAAGAATGAAGGCTCAGAACTGAACTTGCGCCAATCTACCCATTTTTGGGCCAATTCCCTCTTCGTAATACCATAACCAAATTCACCATTCAAAATAATATTTCAAGACTTTGAAACGATCGAACTAGACGAAGATAAAATCTTTTGGTGGTCAAAGAATTGTTAAAAAGAAAAATGGGGCAACAGAAGTTTGTGATACTATTGTTTGGAATGAGTAGTTAATGTTAAAGAGTTTGACGTCAAAACAAATATTTTCTTCACACAACATATCATAACTTATCCCATCTAAAAATAGACACCACCCAAAATTGGTGAACTAAATGAATAATTATTTCAGGTCACCCATTTTTGGATGAACAATGCTTACTGTTTGAAACAATCAACAAGATGGCGCTGCCTGCTCTTTTATCACAGCATAACATTTGGAGTATTCAGATCTACATTTTTGAAAAGATGGTTAGAAATATAATGAACTGAAAACATAGTAAAATGATGAAATTCACAAGCCCAACTAACAAATTAACTAATGGATGCAAGAAATGATTGAACAGTATAATACAAGATAAAAAGATTGAAGTTAGCCACACAAAAACTGTTTACCTAATCAAATGACATTCAAGACCAGAATTTTTTAGTTTCCCCCTTCACTCCACTGGGCAAATTATTACTGCGTTCGTCCTACTTTTAACTAGAAGACGAATTATCAGCTACTTCCTTGAGCAAGAAACTCATTGAGCATAAAAATGTCCATACTTCATCATAAGAATAAGAAAGTAGAACGTCTAAATCTTGTAAACTCAACATATTTCACTCATGTGTGTCAAGGAATTACCCAAACCAAATAGATATGCAAAATGTGTGATCCTAGTCCAGGCAAAAGATCCATCATAACCGATATTTATAACACAACTAGCTTACAGCAGCATTATATAAAGAAACCAGAAAATCACATGTAGAAGTTATAGCATATGGGAGAATGTCCCTCTATGTATCTCATTGATGTGGAGGAACATAAGCAGCTAAAGACCAACCCTTCAATATGTCTATGGAAAAGACAAAAAGATTGTCAATATGGAGGTTGAATTCAATGATATATTTCAAGAGACTAATAGATTATGGTGATGAAAGAATCCCCTAATAAAGATCTGCATGCCTGCTACAGCAACATGAATTTTCTCAAATCTATATATCGTAACAGTAATACACCAGCAAGAAATACGATCTTTACAGGTCATGTGATTCATTAAGGTACTGACAAGTTTGACCTGAGGGTAATCATACTACTCATAAACTATTAATTCTGGAGACTGACTTTTGGAGAAACAAACTGTTTTGAGTGAGATGATTTGCAGCTTGTTGGGCCGGCCATTTATGCCATTTGCATGCAAATACCAGATTTCATGAAGTTCCACCCCCTCCGGTAGATGATTCAGCTCCCATTTGGCCATAGATTTTGAAGCTGAAACTTGAAAATGTGAATTTTTGAAGTTGTGATTTTGGAATTTGAAGTTGTGTTTGGACATGCATTTTTACTTGGAATTTTTTTTGAAGTTTTATGAGTGGAAGTCCCAAAAACTGGTCAAGTAAGTTTTTGGGAACTTGAAAATATTTGAAGATCAGATTTTGAAAATCTGATCAAATTTCATGGCCAAACAAATATTTGAAGATAAATTTTCAAAATCTACTCCCAATATCTATGGCTAAACTCTAGCTCAATGTTTATTTGGTCAAACCCCACATACGGAAAGAGGTTCTCCAAATAGAAAAGCTGATTTAGTTATGCACAACTATGGTCCTTACCTGATGTTAGATGGACTCAACTATGGTCTTTATCCGATGAGGAAATGTGTAAGTACCTTGTTCATGTGCAGTTATTTGATGTTTAAAGTATTTCTGAAGAATACATATGAAATACCCCACCCTTGTCACATTGTTTTGGCTTAGTTATCTCAAGGCAAATGAAAGGTCCATGTAACACAGATTCCAACTACAGGGACTTTTGATAAGTTTCTGCAAGGTTGCCAATTTGATAGCTAGCTTCAGCTACTCTGTTTCTTGGTCGTTGATCTTTACTCTGTGGAGTATTATGTGCTTAGCTTAAGCTTCCACAATGCTTTGTACCGGCTGCAGCAACTATCCATCTCAGTGAACCCTTTAAAGGGTTGCGCAATGAAGCAAGATATGTGAGTTGCATACAAGCTACTCAGAAAGATCAACTTACTGGGCATGGAAGATTAGAAGAGATGGGTCGCTTTCAGTAAAGTCATATCATCCAAAGCTCTTGGTGAGGGATGGATATGATTCCATACTTGCTGGTTTCATTTCCTTGGATACCAAGAAAGGTGTGGTTTTTTACTTGACGGCAGAGAGGGAGCAATATTGACAGCTGAGACCTTGAAAAAAAAGGAAAGCGGACTACATATGTACAGTGGTGCTTCATGTGCAAATGTTCAAGTGAAGATGTAAACCTCCTCCTCTTACTTTATTTGGTGGTGACTTGCTTGTGGTGTGAGATTTTGAGATGGTTAGGACTGCATTGGGCGATGCCGGGCACAATGATGGAGCAAGTTCCACTGAAAAAAAATTAGAAGGAAGAGAAGTCAAAGGCCTGGGATGTTGTCCCACAAGCAATTGTGTGGATCTAGTGGAAGAAAAAAAGTAGAACTTTCGATGAAAAATAGAGAATGATCACGTACATTTGAGGAAAACATCTCATTTCTTGTTTCTTTTTGGTGCACCATTGAGATTTCAATTTGAATAAATGATTGGGTGTTGTTCATGGAGAATCGTATTATGTAGATTCTCTACTTTTTGGTATACAGTTTGTATACCAAAAAGTTTCTCATTATTAATAAAAGGTTGCATATACATGTGACTCGTGACGCATACCTTAGATTTGGGAGATTTGGTGTTACTGGATCGAGTTAATGATTTCACAGAACAAAAGTAACAAGCATCGGTTGTTTCACTGGGGAGTTTATTTGATTGTCTGGAAAGTTCGTGCTTGTTGAAGTGGAAACAAGCCCAGCATTGTTTTGCTAGATACAATTTAGAAAACTGCCGCTGCACTTTGTTTTTTCCCCTTTCAGTGGTTTTGGTAAGTCTGACGGCTGTATTTTGATTTCAGTTCACAACAGTAATTTAATAAGAAATTTAACATAAGTCAGAAGTTAACATAGGTAATCCTCATTTTTCATCACCAATCATCATAGATGCAACATGATAACATCACAGTAATGAGACAACTAAAACTCGTCAACCTTAGATCATGCGAGTAAAACCACCAAATGAACAATAAGCCTTACCTTTAAGGGTTTTATCATAGTTTTCCAGCTGTGTCATAAAACCAGCATTGGGAGAAACGACTGGTCTTTTACTCTTGACAAGCTCAAAAGCTTCAGAGTGACTCATACGATGCTTTTTCATCAGATAAGCGATGACTATGGTTGCACTGCAAAAGCATAGAACAAAAAAAAACAGTGACTATTTTTAGTACTTGACTGAATATTGGACAGTTAAGTACATCTACTGAAGAAAACAGTGATCTCACTATACAAAAGGAACACCAGAAAAAGCAAACAAGATAAAATTTTAAGTTCTAGAAAGTTCTTTCTCAATTTCCTTTTTCACTGTTGTTCTTGAAGTGTCGAAGATTTAGAGAAAATGACACCAGTCATGGTATAAGAAGGAAACAGGTAAGTTTTATTCGACCTAAATGTTATACTAAAAAGAGTTAGCTGATTCAATATATATAAAGACAAACAATTTACTAAAGCGAATCTGAGTCCAGACCACATAAGATCAAACTAAAAAAGGGCAAGAAGCAGATTGCTAAATATGAATAGGATTCCATATGGATAAAAAAAGTTTCATATTAAAATTTAACCCGATAACAAAATTCATCCCAAACATCCCCCCCCCCTGCTCCCCCACACACACATAATCCTTTTTTATCCTGCACTTGTAATAATGAAGTCAAGCTGAAGGTATTGCATGCCATGATGATATAACTACTATTGCTAGGAGAGATTTGAAAGAGATCAGATGAGCAAGTAACAGGAGAGTCTCGCTACAACAAAGAAACAAGGCTACACAGATACCCTTCAAAAATCCATAAATACATGAAACTTGTGCAGTTAGCTATTAAAGAAGGCTAAAAATATTATGAGAAATGGTCATCTTCAGAACTGCAATGGTGACTCACTAAATCTTCCACTTCACCAGGTCTAAAATATCCGTCACAGTTAAGTAATGCCATACACACAGAAGGTGGCATCAAAAGAAGCATAAATGAGCGTAATCAGTAAAATATTGACGATAACAATTCATTCTTTCAAAGTTTAACTTTGGAAGCATTACTTTACACCTCTATACTAGATTTCTGACGAAGAGCACAAAAGATGCAAGGAACTTGGAGAAACCTGCAATCCAGGTTAAAGATTCAGGTCTTCAGCATGACTGCAAATGTCAAAAAAGAATATCATAGGAACTTTGCTGATCCAGGACAAATGTTGTCCTGCCCACCACAACAGCAAAAGATGTGGTTGGAAGCTAGCTCCATGATACTGCTTTAGTTCACAGTATCAAGCTAAAGATGGAATATGAAGGTTACTATTCTTGAGTTAGGTTTAGTCATAATATTTTTCTTTTGATTATATATAGCAAAGTAAGATGGAGAGAAGCTATTTTGGCTTAAATATTGTACAAAACCGGTATAGTTTTAAGCACCACTATTTTGTATTATTTACCCACATACAAAACCATGATTTCAAGATCCAGGCAAAGATGCTTGAAATCACCTTCTGGATTTTCCAGCAAAGCAATGGACCAGCACACCACCACCCTGTCCTTTTGCTTCTTCAATGAAGTCGAAGCATTCCTCAAAGTAATGTGAAATATTTACATCAACTCTGTCATGAACTGCCCAAAATTTGCAAGAAGTTGAAAATATAAACAAACCATTCATCAATCTCATTAAAAGTGAAAAAAAATTAAGACATGAAGGCAGAAGGCCTCAGTTTATCTTCTCTGTATTGGAAAGTTAACAATCTTTTTTTTTTCTTTTTCTGATAAGGAAAATGGGATTGTTCCAACCTTTACTAGGTAGATGAAAATGAAGGTGAAGCAAAATTATAATTAGGCATTATCATAAGGAAGAATCTAATAAAGAAGTTGGTACAGGTAAAAGAGGCAGAGTCCCAAGAAGGCTCTGGTAGGAAAAGTTGTACTTCACGTTGCTATAGTAGAGTTCTTTGCTTCTCCAAATTAGATAGTTAACCAGAAAATTTTACATAATCTTATGAAGGACCACTACAAACAAAACTAAGGGGGGTTTGGCAATAAGAGAAACGAAGAGAAAAGACGGGAAACAGGAAGAAAATCACAGTACAGCAGCAGCACCAGTGCGGACAACTTAGAGTGTGGCACTGTATTTCCTGTTCTCTTAGTTCTATTTAAGTATAGTTGCTGTTGACTATACTTACATAAAGTAAGGAATGGATCATACATTAGTTATTGACTTATATAATATGGAGATACAAATTTTCTCACCACATGTATATATTCAAGACACATTCAAAGAAATTCAGCTATATTTAACAAAGTTAGAAACTTCCTACCAGAAAGGACTTTGTAGACAAACTCATTTGGATAAGGAGGATTTATATCTCTAGCAATCGTCAAAATATGAGTTAGATTCAAGCTTTTGAGTGCAACTTTATTGTTGGCAGCTCCAAGGGACCCTAAAAAGAGACCCTAAGAAATATAAGGAAACAAATAAGTATAGGTGAAAAATAAAGCTAGAATGGCTAGGAATCGTGGTTTAGTACCTCTTCAATCATACAAGGATTCTTATCTTCTCGAATGATTTTTGCTACAGACATTGCACGCATTAGAGCTTCAATATCCCCATTATAAAACTCCAGAGCTTGAGCCATTTTTCGGTTTCTTCCTTGAAATAGCTTGAACTTTCTGAAAATTTTAGAAGTTCTGGGATATTTGGCATATAAGTTTTCTATTAGAAATAAATTAGTAAGAGTTTATGCATACAGAGGAAAATCAAGATTCAGGACACACTTAAAATAAAGTAGACTGAAGTCTAAAGTGTTGCATACCCCAATACCTTCTCCCAAGGACAGCTCAAGCACTTGAAGGAAAGAATAACCTACTACTTGAGTGCCACAAAGTTTAACACCTTTTCTCCTAAGGGAAATTTAAGTATTGCATATAAGGAATTCCAACATGAAGTAACTTATTGGTCTTTGTTCTTACAACAACTCCATTGTGAATTTTTACCGGAAAAATAGGCTCCTTTCAATTCTTGAATTTGCAGTCACTGGTTCGAGTTGCCTTATTTTGTAGTATGGCTTTTAGTTACTGTTCAAATCTTACCCAAATTCCAAAAAAAATAAAAAATGATAAGGTAGGGTAAAACCCAAATACATGAAGATTTAGAAAGCCAGTTTGGGGATTTTTCCTAATACCATTTTCATTTGATATTCTTCCAAGATTGGCTCTATGAAGAATGAAATTATGTTCACACTGCACATCTCACCAAGACATTGGTGAAAGCTATGAACTCAAACTCTTGTCATTCAATTACACCTCAATCCCAAACTTATTGGCTATATGAATCATGTACATATCCTCTGCTCTATTCAGTCCTATTCGTTCCAATTCTATATAATTTGTCAATGTTAGAGGATTCATCATACTATGATTATTTGTTAAGCTGGTCATCGGCCTACTGCAAACCACTTTTATTATCCTGGTTTGGGACTGGCTATTTGAAGCTACCAAGAGGTCAAACTCTTGTAAAATTTGTAAATCCGTAATAGGTATACAATAGTTGAACACAAAATTTGGCACAATAAAGTGAAGTTGAAACAATTATCCAACCATTTGATTCTAGAGAGCAGTAGAATTGCAGAAATTCAGAGAGATGAGTTCTTGAGGGGGAAAAAAAGGCATAATACATAAGCAAATACTCAAACTTCGCCTCAGCTGGCAAGTAAGCACTCTAACTTTGAGAGTGCACATCTAGACACCTCAACTTAGTCTCAAACTGACAACTAAACACTCCCAACTTGTCCTCATTGTGTCTTGTAACACCCGACACTGACCTAACATATAAATTTTGGAGGTGTGCAGATGATCATTTTGTAAGTCGGAGTGTTCAGAGTTGAGGTGCCTAAATATGCATACTCACAATTATAATGCTTGCTTGTCCGCTGAGACAAGTTTGAGCATCTGTTTAAGTATTAAAATGTGTTGAACAAATCATAATTGTTCATAATATTCCACTAAACTAAAATTCTTTTGGGACTTTGATCAAACATCTCCAGGGCAACAAAATTCAACCCCCACATTCCACGGAAATTTCAAAAACTCTGCCTCTATGAAGCTGCTAATTGATTGAAATTTCCCATATTAATTTATTTTTTCCAGATTCCATTTGTGCAAAACTCAAAAAGTTTGGAAATCCATATTGAAGAGGTGAAAATCAATTGGGTAATTATCAGGATCGAACAATTCAATTGATACAGAAGAAAAATATATAAATACAGCTAAAATATCACAGAAACGAGAAGGAAAATGAATGAATGAAGATCTTACCGCGCTGAGAATCAAGAGTAGATATGGCTTCTGCAATTTGCAGAAAAATATTACAGTAAAACAAAAGAGAGTTCTGTTATTTCACAATTGGAGCAGAACCGAAAATTATAAGATAAACTAGTGAATTTGATCGCGCCTCGCGCGATTATGAAATACCTCATTAATATAAAATATATATATTTTGAAATATTGAGTGCTAAAAAATTATACTAAGAGTCTTAGTTCAATTTATTATTCCTACTCAAATTTTATGATTTTTACAATTTTAAATTATTTATGGGTCTTTGTTCTTCGGAATATTTTTCCTTAAATAATGTGTTTAATAACCAAAATTATTTATATATAGTACTAATATAAGAAAAATATAATTTCAAATATGAAATAAAAAGTATATTCTTGAGTAGGGATCTTATGAAACAATAAATTATGAATTTTACAATTTTGAATTATTTACGAGTCTTTGCTCTTTAGAAGATTTTTCCTTTAATAATGTGTTTATTAACCAAAATTATTTATATATAATAGTAATATAAGAAAAATATAATTTCAAATATGAAATAAAAAGGATAATCTTGAGTAGGGGTCTCATGAAACAATAAATTATGAATTTATGTAGATAAAATGGAGGAATCTTTAAAGAAAATATAAATTAATTCTTTATACAATTAAAAGAATGTATTTCAATATTTAATATATATATATATTTCTTGTAAATCATTAATAGTATTGTTTGAGCCTTCATTAGTCGTTAATATATTTTCGACATTTGTTGTATTGCATCTAAATAAAAATACAAACTTACGATAATTAAAAAACCATAAGAAGCCAAACTAAAACAGTTACATGAAGAGAATACAAATCTTTCTTAGGGTCTTAATCATATAAAAAAAATGATGAAAATAAAAATACAGATTCAATGCACAAAATTTTGATATTATAATATAATAATAATAATAATATAAGGAACAAAAAATAAAAGTAATATCTTTGAGTAGGAATATATCTTATGAAACAAAAAATGGTGAATTTATATAAGACAAAATGATAAATTATATTATTGAAAGTGAAAGTTTAATAGGTATAACTTATGAGTCATGAAGGTGAAACTTTAAAAACAAATAAAGGAGAAAAACACAAATAAATAAAATAAAAGAATAAACACATGTATGTATATATGTGTTTGAGTTTTTTTTTAAAACACGACACAACTACTTTCATAGCTATAAAATCATCATCCATATTTTCATACCATGTCCAAATTAAGCCTTAACCTCATCTAACATCAAAATCATACCAACCACAAGCCATCTTTTGTTTTTGAAACATTATCAGTTACAAATTTAAACATCACGTTATCTTTATTTGAATTTTTTAAAATATTTACTATTATAAAAAGAATTGTGGCCTTAGAGAGCACCACATCACCGGAGTATATATATTGATGTAAATGTTCAGTTTTCTCTACACTTTTTCATTGACAATTTATTATAATAGTGAATATTTAAAAAATTCAAATAAAAAACATAATTAAGTTTGATAAACATAGAGAGATATCACATCACTTTAATATTACATTGTGTATACTTAACTTTAATATTATACTATACAAATTTAGATTTAGGGAGAGAGACGTATTGAATAGAATTAGAACTTTAACTTCCTAAAACTAAAATAAAATCTTTAAAAAAATTAAATAACATTGATATTGATAAAATAATAATAATAAAAAACTCTTGGCTTATATCAAAAGCTTCATAGTAATATCCTTTTCAAAGGATGGTAACATATATACATACGTTAAAAATAAAATCAAGAATCAACTCTTGGCTTTCCTCTTCTGTTCTTCATATCAAAAAGCTTCATAGTAATTATCCTGTTTAAAATGATGCTATCAAGGATGGATAAAATAAAAGGAAGAAGATGAAAGAGAAGAACAAAAAAATCACATGAAACCCCCCAAAAAGGTATAAGAAGATATGAAAACAATACTTACATGAAACCCCAAAGGAAAAGGTCTAAGAAGGTATAAATAAATAGGGGAATGAATTGTCTAATTAATTATAGGTGATTAAGGATTACAAAAAAAACTGATAGTACGTGGGTTGAAGCAATGATTTAATAGGAAAAAATGTGTGATAATGCACATTAATTGCTCCATTATGTATTTAGCTGTTACATATTTTCTTTTGGAAGGAAGAGTTAAATGTAGTAAAGGCTAATAATAAGGTAAGTGAATAATTATTTTAAAAGGTTATTGAACAGAAAATGAGAGAAAAAAATCAAAATTTTAAGAAATAGTAATACTGATCAATAAAGCATGTCACATCAGTGTGATTTTATTCCGCTTTATAAACATATATAGATTAGGGGGTTGATTATCTTTTTACCTACCAATCAAAGTTTAGCCACTGTGTCCCATATGCTAGTTGAAAATTAATTACTTTTTAAAGCAAATATATATTTGAACAAAATTTTAATATTAACATAGTTCACTTTTACTTATTACATTTTAATCCATTTTTATAAATAAATATTTATTTTTAATATATTAAAAAAAGATAATTATTTTCTCTCATGATTTAACCTTAACATTTATTATTTATTTTTTAAATTATTTTACAAAATCTAATAACTTAGCATCAACTAAGATGGATAATATGATAAAATATGCATATCAATCCTTGCTTTTTGAAAAGCGTGCAAAATTCAAAGTGGACAAATAAAAATAAACAAATATAAAGATTACATGTTTAATTCTAAATTTATACTCTATGTATGTTGAAATTTATACGTTGGAGCAACAAATTAAACAAAATCGCTGTATAATTGTGTGTGCCTTCTGTGGTATCGAAACTCACGAATCTTTTTTTAGTGATTAAGTCTTTCATGAGATTAGCATAACCCAACATCTATCTGCTTCAAAGCACCAATTAAGGTAAGTTGTTTTCATGTTATTTTATTGTCCATAATCAATCTGCGGCATTTTTTATTTATCCAATCGGCACAAAGAAAATTCAGTTGATCATCCAACTACTATATTTTACCTTCATAATTCTCTCTCTTCTTTTTTGTAAAATTATCTTATTTCCTTGCTTATCATCGTCATTCTTCACATTTTTCTTAATTTTTTATAATCATTCATTATTTTTCTATCTATATCTTTATGTTTGTTTGAATGTGGAAAATTTATAATCGTTCAAAGACAGACTTTTGTTTTTCCTTCTTTCTATAATCTTAGAGTCGTTCGAATGTGGAAAAGTTAATAATCATACGTTAGAGTTCGACCAAATCCACTTAATCTTACTACCCATTTATTGATACTTTGGCCTTCGAGGAGATATATATGCACATTCTGGTAAGTTGGATAAGATGAAAGAAATCTATGAGCTCGTAAAGGGACGTCATCTTGAATATTAATTTTAATTTGATCTGAAAAAAATCCATCAAAGGTTTGATCTAAAGGATATATTTTAACTCGCCTCACATTACTTTAAATTATCCACACCGCACCGCTTCGTTTGTCATTCCTAGCGAAAACACCAACATGATTATCATACAACCGAATATGAGAATCAAAATTGAAACACAATTCTCTTCCAATAAATTGCTTACGCCATCAGTTATGTTTGTTCTTCCGAACCCTTCTATATATACACACATTAAACAGATCATTCTAAAAGACATTCACATTAAACATTTGAGAAAATGGGAGAAGAAGTGACAATTAGCAACAAACAAGTCATTTTAAAACACTATGTGAGTGGTTACCCTAAAGAATCAGACATGGAATTGAAGAATAGCACTATTAAACTGAATGTTCCAGAAGGTTCTAATGTTGTCATTTTGAAGAATCTTTACTTGTCATGTGACCCTTACATGAGGGGACGCATGAAAAAAACTGAGGGTAGCTATATTGATTCCTTCATTCCTGGATCTGTAAGTGTTTTAAGTATATTATAGCAACAATTATATTATTGTCACTAAATCCTGTTGTATTGTTTTCTGCTTCTCATAACTTTTCTTTTTTGTTATAACAGCCTATCACAGGATTTGGAGTGGCTAAAGTTTTGGAGTCTGGTGATTCAAATTTTCAGAAAGGTGACTTAGTTTGGGGAATGACTGGATGGGAGGAGTATAGTATTGTAACACCTACTCAGAATAATTTGTTTAAAATTAATGACAAAGATGTCCCTCTTTCTTACTATACTGGAATCTTAGGTAAGTTATGAACTTTTCCTTTTGTTAAATCAATTTGTGTTGTGTATTAAAGCTCATTAATTTCACTCAATTGTTTTGTAGGGATGCCTGGGATGACAGCTTATGTTGGTTTTTATGAAATTTGCTCTCCTAAGAAGGGAGAAACTGTCTTTGTTTCAGCTGCTTCTGGAGCTGTTGGTCAGCTTGTTGGCCAATTTGCAAAGATGTTGGGTTGCTATGTTGTTGGTAGTGCTGGAAGCAAAGAAAAGGTAAGTTTCATCGCGATATACCATGTAGCTCATTCCACCATGGTTAGAGAAGAATCACCTAGTATTTTTACCTTAAACCTCATGGCTTTCGACCACTTCATTGATCACTAAGCTACACCCTTGGATGTTGCTTAATTATATCTCCTTTGTTGGATCTGACTAGTAGTGAGTTAACCTATATATCTTGCTTATTGTAATTTGTCTCTCTATCTTTGCTCTCTTTGGGAAGGAGGAAGGGGTTTAAGTATAAAGAAACTTTGTTACTAATTATTAAATGATGTTAAGTGTCTCCACAAAATCAAAAAGATCATGATGTTTAACTTGTAATTGAGCTTATTCTGTCTCTTTTTTGTTCAATATTATTAAAGGTTGATTTATTGAAGAGCAAGTTTGGGTTTGATGAAGCTTTTAACTACAAAGAGGAGCATGATTTAGATGCAGCTTTGAAGAGGTTAGTAATCTTAGAGACCGTTTGTATTATAAATAGTTGATATAAGCTTAAAATGTAAAAAAAAAAAAAAATTAAGTTCTTAATAAGCAATTTATGTGTTTGGTAAAAAGTGTCCATTTCTTTTGTTAGAATGACTAAAATGCCCTTAATTTGTTGTAAAATATTATGAATTGAAATATTTTCATTCAAATAAAAGGAGGAACGACATATATGGAGTGAAAAGAAAGTTAGAACTCTGTTTTGGGAAAAATATTTTGAGAATGTAAAAACAATATTGAGGATAAAATAGTAAAATATTTGGTTAAATCAAAAGTGTTTTAACTATAAGCTAAAAAACATTAGTTAAGGATGAACAACTTCTTACTTTTAACTGATTTTGACTTATAAGCACTTTGTTGTTAATCAAACGCGTAGAAAAAACTAAAATGTCACTGGAAATATATTGATTTGTATTAGGTACTTCCCTGATGGAATCGACATTTACTTTGAGAACGTTGGAGGGAAAATGCTTGACGCAGTTCTTCTAAATATGAAACTCCATGGCCGTATTGCTGCGTGTGGGATGATCTCGCAATACAACCTTGAGCAGACTGAAAGAGTGCACAACTTATTTTACCTCATCTCAAAACGAATCCGCGTGGAAGGATTCATCATTTTCGACTACTTTCATCTTTATTCGAAATATTTGAAAATGATCATTCCAAAAATAAAGGCGGGTAATGTTGTCTACGTAGAAGACGTAGTTGAAGGTCTCGAAAATGCGCCCACTGCTCTAGTTGGTCTCTTTTCTGGTCGCAATATTGGTAAGCAAGTTGTGATGGTTTCGCGTGAATGAATTTACATAAAAATGTTAGTAACTGCTTAGTTGGTCTGCCTGTTCTTTTAAATAAACGTACTCAATTACAGATTCAGTAGAGATACTTGTGTTTATACTTATGAAACGTTTTGTTTACATGATTTTGTTGAATGCATATATATATGTGCTGAGAAATATCATGAGCTCACAAACTCACAACTCCATTAATGAACTCGAGCTAAGAGAAAAGAGAGAGAAAATTGTATTGATCACAATATGTTGTACATTCAACCTTAAAAGAGAATGCGGTGTTATTTATAGCCCCAATCTACAAAATATCTTGTAACAAAATTTTAACAAACTACACCAACTCATCACAAAGTAACTAACTAAAGGATTAGATTCATTATGTATCATAACCAACTAATGGACCAAATTCATCATGTGATGCATTTGAACACACCCCCTAAAGTTGAATGGTGCAAGATGTTGAGCACACCAAGGTTGCCTATAAGATGCAAGTGTTGAGTGTGACCCAAACCTTTAGTTAGCGAATCTGTAACGTGTTCCTGAGTATGACCATAGATAATTTCAACCAGCCCTGCCTTGATCTTGTCCCTGATGAAGTGGCAATCTATCTTTATATGCTTGATCCTTTCATGGAAAAAGTGAATTGGTTGTTAACTGGATAGATAACTTACTATTACTCGATATAGTAACATGTAACTGAATGTGCATTACCAACTTATTAAAAAAGCCCACTAGCCAAGTAATCTCAGCAACTACAGATATCATGCTCCTACACTCTGCTAGCTTCAGCTGAACTCCCAGAAACAGATTGTTGTTTCTTTGACTTTCAAGACACTAAGGATTCACCAGACTTAACCACATATCATGTGATGGATCTTCTAGTGTAAGGAAAAGCAGCCCAATCTGAGTCACACTAATAAGTCAACATAGATGCAGGTTCAACTTGTGACCAAACTCCTTGACCTACAGTGCCCTTCAAATATTTAACAACTCTAATAACTACCTCCTAGTGTGACCATTTAAGAGCTTGCATAAATTGACTAAGAGTTCAAATTGTATAGCTAATTTCTGATCTAGCAATAGTAGCGTAAATAAATTTACTAAACAGTTTCTGATAAGAAGTAATATCATGAAGAACATCAACTCCGGTAGAACCAGTAAACTGGTCATGTTCCACTGGGTGAGTCTTAAGCTAGACTCCAAAGGAGTAGATACAAGCTTGGCACCATTTAACCTTACATAAGATATTAGCTCCAAAATGTACTTTCTTTGGTTTAGCATAATACCTTTTGAGGATCTCAAGACCTCAATACCAAAAAAGTATTTGAGCTCACCTAGGCCCTTCAATTTGAACTGCTTGTGTAGACTATTATTCGCATCAGTGATCATCTATGCATAATGCATTACTCCCAACGATAAGTAATTCATCAACAGACTAATACAATTACTCAATGTTCATCCCTCTTCAGGATAAACAGTGAGAAATTATGTGCACTTTGACTAAAATCAGCAGCTAACAAGGCAATAGTAAATTTGATGTTTCATTGTCTAGAGGCTTGCTTAAGTCCATACAATGACTTGAATAATCTACACATATTTTTGTCTCCTGGCTTTTTAAACGCTTCAAGCATCTCCATGTACACTTTCTTATCTAGATCACCTAGTAGGAAAGCATTGTAGACATCGATTTGGTACAAATTCCAACCTTTAGACATAGCTAAGGCAATAACACACCTTACTATCACCATCTTAGCAACATGAGAAAAAGTGTCATATTAGTCTAAGCCTTCTTGATAACTATAACCCTTAGCTACTAGCTTTGCTTTGAATTTCTCCACTTCACCATTTACTTGGTATTTGATCTTATACATCTACTTTGAACCAATAATATTCTCCCCTCTTGAAAAATCAACTACCATCCAGGTTTTATTATCCTCAAGAGCTTGAATTTCTAACTTCATAACTTGAATCCATTTCTTATTTTTGGCTACCTGTCTGAAGAATTTAGGCTCCACACAATCAAAAAATTTAGACAAATAACTTTGATATCATGGAGTTACATTGTCATAGAATAGACAATTGGTCAGGGGATGTCTAGTGTTGTTTTGTTTATGACTAGTTGCAGCAGCATAACCTTAGGTTGTTGAATGATCCTTGTGGTTCTTCTCACAGAAGGATCTATGAAAGGCAACACCATATGACTAACTTTCATATGAGGTGATGTGACTTCAAGTGTTACTAAACTTTCTTGAGGCTCCTCATTAGGTGAATGAGGCAATATTGCATCCTCACAAACAAGTTGTATCATATTGATCAATGTGTTCCAAAGGAGATCTAAAGAGAGTTGAGAAAACATGTGTGTTTGGCATCAATTGAGCAAATGGAAAACACTCTTCCTTGAAGATCACATCCCTATTCACAAAGATCTTGTTGATTTTAATAACCAACAATAAGTATATCTTTTTTGCAACTCTGAGTACCCCATAAGGACAGTAGAAAATTTTGAAAACTTGTCATTCTTTGGTAATGCAGATGCATAACAAAGACAACCTATGAATCTCAAATGAGACAAGGTTGGTTGTTTGTCATAAGGACTTTTGTTAGCAATGGATAATGAAGGTAATCGATTTATCAAGTAAACTGTTCCGTTGATGCAATATCCCTAGTATTTAATAGGCATTTGGGATTAGAATCTGATGGCTCTGGCTACATTAAGAATGTGTTTGTAGTTCCTCTCCACCACACTATTTTTGTTGTGGTGTACTGTGAGGACAACTATTTTGATGCAATATTCCTAACTTATGAAACAACTCTTTATATTTAGTGTTAATGAATTCAGTGACATTATTAGATCTTATTATCTTAACTTGAGAACCAAGTTGAGTTTTCATCATTAATAGGAAATTTCCAATAACAACAATAGTTTCTAATTCAGTCAATAACATATCTAGTGATTAAAATCAGACAACCGCAATCAGTCATGAGGCTAATAATGTTTTTTTGACAAAGGGACAAGCAAATACTAAACATGTTGTACAAGAGTGTCTCTGAATGCACAGTCTCATTAAGGAAATTTATGACTGGTTGCAGTTGTCTGATATTGATCACTAGATATCTGGTTCTATTTTCTTAATTTTGCTTATTATTTAATTATAAATTTCATCCTTTGAAATTTTTGAGAAATTATTTTCATAAATATTAGTATAACTAATTCTCTTGTGATGATCTTGAAATGAATTTTAAATAAGTTTAGGAATAACAATTTTGGTTTGCTTATTATAAATTTGTTATTTGGGACAAAGCAAATTATTATGACATAATTGTGTTGCATAAAGACCATGTGAACTTTGTTTTCAAGTTATTAGATGATGTATATGAATTCCTTTATTTTGATGGATAATATCTATATTTGAAAGTTATTAGAATAATTTGAAATTTAGAGTAATGATAAATATTTATTAGATCATTTTGTGTTCATTAAAGGTTGAAGACTTTGTCTTCTTATTAAATACTCATGACTTATATTATTGAAACACTATAAATTTGACAACCAACATGATATGTTGATGATAATTAGATGTCCACACAAGTTATAAAAAGGACATTTGAATCATTTAAAGTGTGGGAGTGTTTGAATTATGATTAATAGTCAATAATATTTAAAGAAGTTTAAGATATAAATTATTTGTTCAACACCTACAAGATATATCTTTGATGTATTTGACATGCATGATAGTTATATTTATAATTTGATAATTTTAGTGATAACTAGTTGATTAAACTGCTAGTGTGATGATAATGAGACTATAAGCCTTCGAAGAAATATTATGTAATTTCATGAAGTAGTGTCACTTGAAATTTTATGTCTTTTCATGAATCTAGTGTAAGATAATTTTTGTATAGACATGACCATTCATACATAGATGAATTGGTGTGTTGGTATATAAATAGTAAATCTTCTAATAAAAATGATAAAAATCCATATAAGTTGGTTTTTAACATGTATGGAGGTGTCATAAGTTTTGCATCAAAATAGACTTGAATTCCATAGTGGAATAGGAATATATTTAGCATATAAATGCTTGAAAAGAAATGAAATGGTTGAAAAAATATGATTTTAAAATGTTGTGGTCACAACTGATGCAACCATTCTAAGCTGTTGAGATAATGATGATATATGTGATATGCCTATATCAAAGATTTGTTCATGATTAATATTCATCTTGTAAAATTTAGTTTCAAAAGATATAGTATAATAAAGGTGTGAATGAATAAGGCTAAAATCCTTAAACAAAACACAAGTGATGGAAACCCGACTTTGAGTTAGTATACACTCTAACAATACAAGTTCAACAAGTAATAACAAGTTACTTTGTGTTGCTAAAGCACGACTATAAGCCTTCTTTTTAGAGCCTTGATTCAAGTGGTACTACATTTTGTTATGTGAGAAGTTGAGAAGTTGTTAAATGCATGAAATAACAGGGGCAAAGCGACAAACTCTATAGTGCAGACTGTTACACTGAGGTTGAATTAATTCTTCAATTGTATTTCCTATTATTTTTCTAACACATTCAACCCTAAAAGAGAATGTGATGCTATTTATAGCCTCAATCTACAAAATATCTTCTAATTGAATTCTTAGAATTCTAACAAACTGCTATATCAGTTCATCACAAAATAACTAACTAATGATGCGAATCGTAACCAACTCAAGAACCAGGTTCATTATGTATCGTAACCGACTAATAGACCAGATTCATAATGTGATACATTTGAACGCCAATTTCTATTTTTAATTTTTCCTCCTTTTTGTTCTGTGACAATTTCATGGTATCTTTGCCATACAAGATCAGTTTTATTTTAAAAAATTAATAATAAAATTACAAATTCAAAACTGAAATTTCTACCTCTAGTTTTGTTCAAATACATAAACAAACACAAATTTTAAATTTGAATTCCAAATTCACGTTACCAGTCTTTTAGACTTTGATGGAGCTAGTATACTTTAT